CCCCCAAAAAATCCACCCCCAGGTCCACACCATCATGACACGAAACATAGCAGAGGTCTTGGGGCAGGGGGAGCAGCTCGACAGTGAGTCACTCCAGGGGTGACTGGGGTCGCCGGCAACGATCAGCCTGCATATGGAAGGGGATGAGGCGCAGACAGAGGCTTGAGTGTTTGAGTGCTCTGTCAGAGGGATTGTCAGCTGCAGCCGGGCAGCTGTGGGACGTGTGGCGCGCGTCGGCACAACACTGCCCCAAATGAGGGCGATATACGCGTGGCATCGCGGACAGTACTTCAATCAACCCCCTGTGCCTTGACGTCCCTCACCTGCCCATTCCTGGCCGCCCCCGCCCCCAAGGTATGACCAAGCTGTCCAGCACGCTGGCGATGGAGTCCAAGGCATACTCTGGGCGCGCCAAGGACCTGCACAGACAGGCGAGCGCGGGCGAGAAAAAGGCGGGGGCAATGAAGAGGACGGGCCTGGCGGCACCCGACATGGCGGCAAGAACGCCAGCACGGCTGCGGCGCGACGGAGGAATCGGCGGCCGGAAGAGCGGTCTGCGTGTCGGCCCCTGCCGCACCTGCTCGCCGGCTCGTTGCGCCCCTTGCTGCACCTGACGCGTGCACCGGCTGCTGAGAAACAGCCCTCGCGGCGCACCCCTCCCTCAGGCCCTCATCCGCAAGTACCTCCCTTTCGCTGTGGTGGGGGGTGTTGTGCTGCTGGTGCTGCTCTTCAGGCGGTGGCTTTTCTGACCTCATAGGTCCGCTCGTGCTGCCCGCTCCCGCAGCGGCAGCAGCAGCGGCAGCAGCGGCAGCAGCGGCAGCAGCGGCAGCAGCGGCAGCAGCGGCAGCAGCGGCAGCAGCGGCAGCAGCGGCAGCAGCGGCAGCAGCGGCAGCAGCGGCAGCACGCAGGTGCAGCCGCACCAAATGCAGTAGCTGCAGCAGGAGTGGCGGCAGCGGCTGGGGCGGCGGCGGGGCTGGAATGTGTGGCTGGCCACGCACACTCGAAGCTGAGCTCGGGTGCTTCCACAACGGGGGCTTTCATTACCTGTCGCGCACTGACTGACCGCTGCGTTTGATGTCTTGAAGACGATTCTGCACTCCACTCCCCCCACGCCCCATGTTCTTGCATACCATGATTTGTAACAATCCATTTCCAGTGATCGCTGTCCTGCTAGAGTATGCATGCAAAAGGCTGGTTGCGTGTCATCCCGCACCCCAACCCACTGAGAGGCTTGTCTGTTGGCACTGGGCAGGGGACAGCTTGGCTCCGTCAGCGACACGGCCAGCTTGATGCAGCGCTGCTCTGCTGCGGCGACAACCCCGTCGCGCGCAACGACGAGGGGCGGCGCTTGGTGCATCTGGTGCTGCATGAAGTCCCGATGTGATAGGGCTCCTGCCGGACCATGGGGCCGCTCGGGGCCGTCTGTGGCCTTGGCCCCTGCCCTGTCCTGCCGCCGGGCGCTGGCTGCGTTGGACCCTGAAGCTGCTGACGTAGTCGGTTTGGTACGGGCACGCTCACGCGGGGCTGTCGTGCCCTGCATCAATTGCCCGTGTGCGGTAGCAGCCTAACCCAAACACACCGGCTTACTGTGTGGCGTGTGGCCTATCAAAAGTTTACAGTTTCCTGGAGGCAGGTTTGTGAGAATGGCTGCTGGCAACAGAACCACACATTGAGAGGCGAGCCTAGATATCAGCGCTAACGGGGGACTGTGAGAGCGGGTGTACGTGCGCGGTTTGGTTGGGGGAGAGCCACCAGTCTTTGGGACGCGCCGTGACAAAAGAAGTGTAAGGCAAACCGCCGTCACTGGAGCGGCCTCGCCAGCTGGCAAACACAACGCACGCTACAGACCCCTCCTCCCCTCTCCATTGAACGGTTCCTGTACCGGACTGCGTGCGAAAACGTGTGACGAGCGCGCCGTCGCCACGGTGAGAGCCCTGCAGTATCTGTGCGTCCCCTGCAGTCCTGCTGCTGCGTCTACAGGTCGTAGTGAACGATGTAGCCAGGGTAGGCCTGGCTGTTGTCAAAGACTGCAGGGTGGGTGGGTGGATGCGTGGGGGGCCCGATGGGAGGTGGCTAGTGCAGGTGCAGTCGTGTGGGCATGCGTGTGGCTTTTGTGTGGCTGTGTGCGCAGAGTGGGGGCGTCATGGTGGCAGGGCACCGGCAGGCGCGGGGGTGAGGAGGGCCAGCGGGTGGATCAGGTGCGCAGTGGTCCAGCACGCCCGGAGGCGTGGGTCACGCGCTCAGCCAGCCCCCATCAAGCGCGGCAGCGTCCGCATGGCGGAGGGGCCGCGCTCCGACGGAGGCCAGGCACGAGGCCGCCGTCCCTGTCGCGCGCGGTGGCCGCGGCATTGGAGCCCTCTCCCGCCGACCTGCATAAATGTCGTTGAAGCCGCGCCCGACCTTGCCGCCGCCGCCGTTTGAGACACCGTGGAAGCTGTTGTTGCAGATGCGCATGCCAGGCCGTCCCAGCTGCGGGTGCGAAGGAGGGTGCGCCCGGCGGCAGCGAGAGGCCTCGGCATAGTGCAAACCATCGTGCAGCGACGCAGGCCCAGCCCTCCCAGGAGCGGCCGGGTCCATTTGCTGACGGTGCGATGCGTAGCGCTAGCAGGCGCAGTGGCGGCTGCCACCACGCGGCGTCCCAGCTGGCGCATGCCCCACAGGCTCCTTTGCTGGCGTCAGCCTACGACGACACGAGCTCACAGCCCCACCCCCTGCAGCGATCGTGCCCGCCGCTTCGCCCCGGCCCCGCCCCAAAACCGCACCTCGATGCTCCCAAGAGTGACAGAGCACAGCAGCATGGCATATCGCCCAGCCCACTGGTGGCCCGGCGGCGCGCTCGCCGCCGCCAGGCCCGCCACCACGCCACCGCCACCGCCGCCCGGCACGGGTACGGGCACGCCGCCGAACGCCATGGGCATGCCGGCGAACCCCATCGACATGCTGCCAAAGGTTGGCATCCCCCTCATGGGCGGCGGCGCGGCGCCGCGCAGGCCCGCAGCGGCGTTTTGCGCCTGGCCGGCAGAGTACTGATGTGAGTATGTGGCGTTGCCTGGTTTTGAGGCGCACATCATGGAGGGGAAAGAGGGAGGGCGGGTGGGCGGGTGGGTGGGTGTGTGAGCGGGTAAGGGAGCGCGCTCACTTTTGCTGTCATGGACAACTTGCCCAGGTGAGAGGGGCCCAGCACAGCGAGAGAACCCAAGGTAAGTGGCCCAAGCGGTGAGCAGAGATAACTCGCCGCGCAGGCGGATGCGGTTGGAGGAGCGGTTCTTGAGTGGTGATTTGGGCGCGCGGTGCCAGGATGCGGCGCAGATGCAAGGGGGACAGGGAAGCGGGGCATGTATGGGGCGGCCCCGACCCAGGAGGTGCTCAAAGTGATTGAAGCGCTGCGCCGCGCACCCGCGAAGTACACGCCAGCGCCGAGGGCGCCGCCCATGTTGCTGTATTGCGACTGTGTGTGGGGTTGTGCAATTCGTTGCGAGAGAGTGAGTTGTTTGGCGGGAAGATCCATGGGTTGTGTTGAGGGCTTTGGGTGGGGGCGACGGCACAGGCAGGTTTCGGGCTCAGGTCAGGGTGCCAGCAACTGCAGATGCTGTGGGGACTGCAAACGACGGCAGCCCCAACAACCACACATGCCCGTCTGTTGCCCCCCTCCTGCCTCCGAACGCGCGCATCCACTTGCACCTGCCGTGTCCCCCTGACCACTGCTCTCGCACCCGCAAGAAACCCCGGGACCCACCTTGAAGCCGCCCGATATGATGGAGTAAATGTTGTCCCGGGATGGCGTGCCGTGCCACAGCTGGTGCTCGTTCAGGGACGGCTTGGACCCGCCCACCTCGTCCTGGATGTGCCTGCCGCGGGGTCCCGGCGGAGGAGGAGGAGGGAAGAGGGGGACGGTGGGCAGGGCTCCGCTGCGACATGCTGCTCAGGGAGCGCCGCGCCGCGCCGCCGGGCCCGCAGCAGGCCGCAGCAGCGCCCGGCTTGTCGTAGCATGCATGGTATATTAATCGCGGCCGCGGGCGCAGCCCTGGTGTGGCGGCCGGTCACCAGGCGCTATCCGAAACGATGGCACCGCTCGCGGCCCCCCCTGTTATAGACCCCTCACTTTGCCCACCCCCCAG